GAGGACAGAGACGCAGCTGGGGGCGGGGGTGGGGGACGGGCCCTGGGCAGCTTGGTGGCCCTCTGAGCTGGGCCTGGCTTCTTTCTCAGGTTCCCTTTCTGGAAAAGCAGGGGGACACCGCCCAGACCTCCAAACTGGCCAGCCTCCAGAACTCGCCCCACCTCTGGGGAGAACTGCCCTCCCGTGGACCCACTGTTCCAGGGCAGAGGGCAGCAGGAGCCACAGGAAGGTGGACGTGGGACTGAGGGGATGAGTCTGAGGGTCCCAAGGTCGGGCGGGCGGTGCCCACACAGGCTCTGATCCCGGCTCTACACAATGACAGCCCAGATCGGCTTCCTGTGGGACCTTGGCCCTGTCTCCCCACAGCTGGGGCCAGGCAGGCGCTGCTGGGTAAAATTAGAAGCAGCTCACAACCTCCTGTGGCTTAGGAACCAGGGAGCCAGGTTTCGGGGACTTGAGAACAGGCGAAAAGTAACTGTGGACCACAGACCTTGGGCCCTAGGGGCACGTCTTCTCCCTCCCTGCCTCACTCTGCATCTCTGTTCCTCTCCAGGTTGCCCCTGCGGAGCCTCCTCTCCCTGAGCCTGCTGGCCCTCCTGCTCTGGCCGGGGGCAACGAACCCAGGTAGCCTGTCTGACCTGCGGCCGCTCAGCCCCACCCGCCTCTCTGCTCTGCCCTGCCCTGTGCCAGCCACTCCTCCAGGCAGGCCTCCTATAATACAAGGCAGGCCATGCCATGCTGGAACACAGACCCAGAGCTGTCCCAGTGTCACAGAGTCACCGCCCAGGGAACCAGTGGCCTTCTGTGCTCAGCTGTCCCCTCTCCAGCCCCCAACTCCCAGACACTGCCTGGGACCCCACAGCCCACAGGCGTCCCTGGAACACAGCAGGAGTGAGCCAGGACACTCTCACTGGTCTGTTTGTGTTGGCGATTTTTTGTTTGTTTGCTAAAGCCGTGTGCTCACCAGAGACAGAGAGAAATCGCCCCCCAGCTCCCCCAGGGAATGGCTGACAGCAGTCCCTTCTCCTCCATCTCCTCTCGGGACTTTGGGCAATATACACGTGTCTGGCATGATTTCCAAGCTGTGGGTCGGGACCTGGAACCACACAGCCACGTGCAATCCGGCCCCTTAGCCTCTTGTGTAAGGAGATTCTGGCTAAACTGGGAAGTAATGAGTGGCCGGCCGAGGCAGGAGAGGAGGGGGCTCCCAGGAGACGGGGGAGGGTGTGTGCGGACTAGGCAGGCCAGCAGTTCTCACGGGACTGCAGGAGAGAGGCGCCTGCAGAAAGCATGGTAATTAAGCCGGAGGCAGGCTGGGCGGGAAACCGGAGTGGGGGCACCCAGCATTTATTTTTACCCCCTTGGTTTCATAGAGGCTGTAAACACATTTAAAGTTAGCAAATCAGACGAGCAAGACTAAGGAAGCACCTATTCCTTTATGCAGAAATTACCTCCATCGGGGTGGAGGTTAAGGTGGCTGGAACCCACATGGCTGACTCTGTGGTTCAAGTCCAGGACCAGGGGCTTGAAAAGCATGCCGGATGCATGTGCGTGTGTGCCCAAATTCCCCAGAGGGGACACGGAAGAGAAGGGACTGCAGAGTGGCCATCCTCCATGGCAGCAGCAGCCAGGGGTGGGGGTTTCTCACTTTTCCTCTTTGTCTCTGTCTCTCCCTGTCTCTCTCCAGGGAGTGTACATGCTCTCTGTTTTTTTTTTTTTTTAATTACCACCATCAATGATTTGGAGTGTCTCCTTTTGGAACTTTTTCTCAACGCATTTATGTTACTATGTAATTCTTAGATAACAGTGTACATATTGCTTAAAACTGTCTTTTTTATCAAGAATTTTATTTAACTGAAATCCTTGCCATATTTACAGAATTGTTCTAAAAATAACACTTGTAGGGCCAGTGGGTGCTGTGGAGGTTGGGGTGCTAGATCCCTCATGCCTGTCTGCTGTTCCAGTCTGGGCCCACTGGCTTGAAAACTCATGCCATGCTCATGTGCTTGCGTGCCCAAGATCCCGAGAGGAGGGTGGAGGAGGGGATTTGTCATGGCCATGCCCCCTTGGGGGTGATTTCTCACTTTCTCTGTCACCTCTCTGCCAGCAGTGCCCTAGCCCAAAGCATTAAAAAAAAAAAGTGTCGCTGTCGGTTCCAGCCCTAACCAGTCCGCCCCCACGGTCCCTGGTCTCCCGTGGCCGCAGCCCTGAAGCGTCCCCCACCTTCCGTTTCCTGAGCCCCTAAGCTGCTGGGTGAGGCGCCGTGTGCTGACTGGGCTGCTCTCACCTCGCAGGAGAGGTGACGGTGGTAGGCCCTGGGGAGGCCGTGCTGGCCCTCGTCGGGGAGGAGGTGGAGTTCCCGTGCCATGTGTCGTCCTACCTGAACGCCGAGCACATGGAGATCCGCTGGTTCCGCGGCCAGGCCTCCGACGTGGTCCACCTGTACCAGGGGCGGCAGGCGCTCCCGGGCCCGCAGATGGCGCAGTTCCGGAACAGGACCTCGCTGGTCCTGGACGAGCTCGCCTACGGCACCGTGAGCCTGCAGCTGCACCGCGTGGTCCCCGCCGACCAGGGGCCCTACGGCTGGCGCCTCCGCTCCAGCAACCGCTCCGCGGAAGCCATCTGGCAGCTGGAAGTGGCAGGTGTGTGACCTGAAGGACCTAGGAGGGGGGGGTGACAAAAGGGCCAATTTGGGTATTGCTGCTTTGCTTAAGAGTAGATAGGAGGGAGACCAGCAGAGTAATGGTTACATCACTGGATTCCCATGTAGTCTACCACAGTTCAAGTCCCGGATCCACTGGCTTAACACTCATGGTGTGTGTGTGTGGTGTGTGTGTGTGTGTGTGTGTGTTTGTGCGCCGAA